TTCGCACTCTGGTAAAAACACGAAAATATTTTTGCCAGCGTAGTTTTTTAATTAGTTGGATAAAACTGCCATTGCCGGCCGGTTGCCATAATTATGAATGAATATGCATACATATATGCATGTGCGTGTTTTTATATATGTATGTGTGTACTACATATATGTATATGTATTTGTATATTTTCATTATAGTTTGCAGTTGTAGGCGAAAATAAAGTTTGAGTTGTAGACAAGCCTTGGGACTTGGGCTCTAATTAGTTTTGTGCATTATTTTCAATTGTCTGACATGGTGTCATGAACATGATATTAAATATTAAAGCAGCCTCAACGGAAGATACAATTTAACTTTTATTAGTCCATTGAGTGATGCGTTTGTTTCATTTATTCAACTAACAGTATGAAAAGTGTTTCGTTGGAGGCAAAAGCTTTCGATTTCCTGCAACATTTATACATGAAATAATTGCCAACAAATTGTCAGCTCATTTTTAAAACACAATTTCCCCCCACAAATGCAGCTTAAGTCGAATACATAGACACAGCTAGGCACACACGGTTATGTGCACACCCACACATGTAGATTGGTGCGAATGTGGCCCTCGAATTGCCAGCTAACTGCACAATTTTCAATCAACTAAAAATGTTTAGAATGGCTTATATTCATTCGCCAACCGATCGAACTATGGTACATCCACATCGTCCTGCTGCTGCTGTTGCCTTCCCTTGAAAATGTGTGCCACAGATTGAGTTGAAAAAATCCCATAAAATAAAAATGTCACAAAAATATCGAGGGAGAAAGAGAGACAGAAAAGCTAGGCAGGAACAAAGAAAAAATGGATTTGTAATGGCAGATTGCAGACCGATTCTTCAGATACACTTTCCGATATTTAGTTTCCATTGACCTTACATGAAATAATCGTCCAGTGTGTATCATATTTGGATAAGCTAATAAGAAATGTACAAAACAAAACTTGGTCATTCGTGCTAAAAATAATACCCGAACTACCCGCAGAAAGGGTACAACGTTTGGCACAAGACAGACAGAAGCAAAAGTGAAACAAAGAGAGTGAAAAAGAGAGGGTAGCAATGGAGCATTAGAGAAAGGCAGAATGAAAGGGAGACCCTACATTGAAGTAAGAGGAGGGCCTCCTACCACGTTTGTTGCGCGTTAGGGAGGCGCATGAAATTGCCATTTCCAATTAACGCCATTGCAAAAATAGTTAAATGTTCACAGAACGATGCAGCAGCTACAGCAGCAGGACCCACACTGACAACTTTGTATGGCTGAAAACAACAACAAAAGCAAGGCCAACAGTCGGACTGGAACAGAACCAGGGGACTGGTGGGGCGGAGGAGGCAATGGTGACAGTGGTCCACCAGTGGCTGGCATTGACTACGCTCTACGACACCGACACCGGCTCCAACTCTTGGTTGGGTTCCCATTTTCGGTTTTTGGCCACCAGCACCTGTTCCCATTCCACTTCCAGCTTGGCAATTTTCGGTTACTGCTCGTACAGCGAGTGGCTCACTGCAGCATTTTTCCCGTCCATTGCTGTTGCAGTTAGCGGTATGTGTAACTAACTCTATTAACGAAGCGGACACGGAAATACACACCCACACACACCCACTCACACACACACACACACTCGCAGAAACCCGCTCAAAAGAACAAACTCGAGTGGGAGCGAGGCAAATGACACACTGCGTGGCCTGGAGACACATGTTCGCTTGTCCTGATGTGGAGTTCCTTTTGGAGTTTATTTGATTATTTTTGGCATCGATAGACAATCCATGGGAAAGTTTTTGGAGCTCTGAAAGTTGTGAAGTATCTACACATTAAAGGCCTCTGTAGTTTATTTCACATTTAGTCATTTTTTGTGTCTCCGTTTTTCAGCTAACTCTTCCTTTCGTTTCTAGTAATTACAGAACAAATTCCCTATCTGTCGTATCTATCTTGCCACTGCTCAACTCAACTATGGCGCACACTGTCTCCCTCGACTGATTCCTGTCCTGCGGCAGCTCTGGGGAAAACACACACCGAAAAAAGGGGAAACTTGCTCCCATATCGCACTCTATTTGGACCCCAGCAGCGATGTCATGTTGACCGAATTTCTCGTTCATGTGTTGATAACGTTTGACCGTTTTTAAATGTCTGCCTCGACACCACCCACACCAACTCGACCAGCCCCAACCCCAACCCCAACCCAAGCCCATCCTAACGCAGTTCTCATATCTTGTGGCATCTCTGTTACTCTCGTTGGGGACATCCGGCATCCCGTTCTTTGCACGTTTCTATTGTGTGCGCTGTAACTGCGTTTAAAATGCGACTCGATTTTTATCGATTTAATCAAGCGGCTACTGCTGTTGTTGCGCCACTGCTATCCCCAACTCCCCACCTAGCAGCAATGGGGACTTACACTCTTTTTTTTTGCATAGCTCCGCTCCGACCCGCGGGTATACGAGACCAGAACGCCAGCGATTTCCATACGTAATTGCACTGTAATTGACAATTTATTGTGTCAATCGCAATCGAGGCGCAATGCCGCATCGCATTCAGAGCCCGATTCCGGGTGGTGCGGTGTGTGTGCCACGTTTAATTAACAAGGCGACAACGATGCCAACGGTTAACAGGGGAGTCGCGGCGGGGGTTGGTAGTCAGGATTGGGTTTGGGGGGAAATTTAATCTGTTTTTTAAAACGAGCGCTGGATAAGTTGAAGCAATCAAGTGGAAAATCAGCAATATCGTGCCCAGTACCTGATCCGGTACAATCTGCTGCAGAATATTGCGTGGTAGAAAAAGGGATTAAATTGGGATTAAAAAACTGTAGTTTGCTTCGTCGGTGAGAGATTTTTTTCTCTATTTCGTTGGCTTTTCTTGAGTTTACTTCCATGTTTACCTGAATTGGAATATCTGCTACATGCAAGACTTTAAAACACATTAAGTAGATCAAAGTTTTCCTTGCTCCAGCTGCAAATTGGTTTGCCACATCATAAGTTTTGGCATCCGCAAGGTAAACTACTTTAGCTGGACTTTATTTTCTCTGAAGTTGCCACTAGTAAGTCCGCCTAATCCTGGCTTACCTTTAAAACAAAGAGCAGTGCTAATTTATGGCCAGCCTCCATATCGAAGCTAATCAAAGGCCATCAAGCTGGAGGCTTACTAAACACCACGCTAATAGTGGCTTCCGACCAGGATTTATGTTCGGGCCGTTGGGCATCAAGGCATCAGCGCAGGCTCATCAGCATCCATCTTCGAGGCGTGGCCCTCGTACAGGGTCTCTAATTGGCCAAAGACCACGGGAAGGGTCTCTGCCTCATACTCCAGTGTTGATTAACGTGCCCACCAATTACGCGGCCCATATATATCGAGAGTAAGAGAGGGGGAGACGGGGATGGGCACCCATATCGACATGGCCAGTGATAAAGTGTGCGTAACAAAAGCTAATAATTGCCAAGGCAACGTTGCCGGCCACGTTGAAAAGTCTCGTCTACCCATGCGGCGTGCCGTGGCTTCTCCTTCTGCCTCTTCTTGTGTGTGTGCTCTTTGAGTGGCCAAAAACTTTGGCATCATAATTTATAGCTGCGTTAAACAAGCGAGGATAACAAATTAATTTTGTCTGCAGGACCACCAGCAGTAGCTGGAGTTGGTTGGTGCCTGGAGCTGGTGCTGGTGCTGGAGCACGAAAAAAACCGCATCTCAGGACGATGGCAGGACTTATGAGCACGACGTTTACTCTCGAATTTCTTAGTTGGGCCAATTAATTTCGAAAGTCAGCAACGTGGCCCAGAACGTGCTCTCCGGCTGGCTCTCTCTCGGCCTGCCCTTTTCCGTCTGTATGTGTGTTTGAGTTTGGGTTTGGCTGCCTCGTAAATCTTAGCGAACGAAAAGCAAAATTCCTACGCACTCTCACCAGAAACACACTCGCGAATGCCGCTCATAAATATAAGTTCCAATGGCCGGCCACCCCCGTCCACAGATTTGGTGGCAATCGAAGTTGGTGGCATAGCCTAAAGGAAGTATTTTAGACTCGAATTTGCAATGATATTATAGTATATGTTTAATAGTATTCATCATACATATGTACATTATCCATCCAATATGAATTATCACAGATTTTTCCACGCTAGAGGGCACCCACGAGGCGACTCCCTGACCCTCCCAAAGTTCATCCACACCCATTGGCTTGTTATTCCACCGTTTGTGGCCATAATAGCCATTGTTTGCGTGTGACTTTCTCCCCCTTTCCACTGTTCCTGAAATACGTCAAAATATTTGGCATTCGATTCTCCAACGATTTTGGAACCCAAATCGGAACCATGGACCCAAGCTCTAATATTTACGAGTGCGCCTGGAAATGCCCTGCTGTTGTCGCTGTCGTCGTCGTTGTTCTCTGGAATCCCTTACCTTACCCCTTAAGTCATAACTATGCTGCTCCATCTAATCGCAACTTTTGTTCTGTTCTGTTTTGTTTTGTTTTATTGTCGCAGGAACAGAATGGCACCCAAGCAAAACACATAAATCTCGCTCTTGACTTTAACTTGTACGTGAAAGAGACGCAACGGGATGCCACAGAGAGGGATGCCGAATATGCGCGTGTGTGTGTGTGTGTGTGTGTGTGTGTGTGGCCCCCACAAAGGTGTTGATAACGTTGTTCTCTGCTTGCCGGACCGAGCTGTACATCTTAATCGTAATGCAAAAGTTGTCAAGTTGATATGCAAACGAAAAACGTGCTGCAAATATTTGCTGATGTCAAATTCCTGGCCATTTTCTCCCGATTTCCATTCTTCTCCGGAATTCTGTGTGTCCTGTCGTATATTTTTATCTAATTTATGAGCCTGTCCCTTATAGGTTGGAATGTCTGAATCGTCTGATTTTAGCTTATTTTTTGAGGTCGGGGCTTAAAGGCAGCTTATAAGCTATGGGGTTTCATGTAATAAGTAGACGATTTAAAATCTGCTATTAGAACAAATGAAATAGAAATATTTTTATTTTATTTTATTGTATATTAATCCAATTTGGTGTATTTGCGGTTTTCAGTGTCAGGTTTTTGTATAGAGAGTAGACTTTTCATAGAAATCATCCTGCCAAAAATTGCAATTATTTCTTATTAAATTAACATTTTTGTTCTTGGCACTTACCATTGTGCTCCAGGCACATTCTGGCGCAGCAGGAAATTCTCTGTGGGTGTTAAGTGGATGTTCATAATATGCTGTTCCACATTTTGTTCAACTCACCGAAAAGTTGTTCTATCTCTATGGCTTTTTTGGGTGGACCTCCCATTATACAAAATATGTCTATGGTATCTCCATCCTCCATACCCATTGACTGTGGTGTCTCCGTTTCGTTGAAGAATCCTCCGTTGTATAGATATCGTAAACAACAGCCTGGGATGCCAATATCTTTGGCTGTTACAGCTTTCAATTTCTTAAAATTGGAGTTTTCTTTCATAAGGAATGCGCGTTCTACACCATAATCGTTAAAACAATGGTGAACCGCCTCCACTTTTATTAGGATTCGTTTGACGAATTTCGAATCCTTTTTCTGCGTCATTTAAAACAAAATTTCTATCCTTTTTTCCTAGACTCGAATTCAAGTATTTTACGTTCGACTGCTCGACTCGGAATGAAATATTCGTAGATGGAAAACAGTCAAATGAGGTTTAAGAAAAAGCAAACGCTCCTTTTCCATTAATATTATGGAACATTAAAAAATCAACACGGCACAGTATAGTATAGATTTCACTGCTTTTTCTTGTCTCATTCCACATTGCTGCTGTGGATGTTTTTTGTTTCAAATCAACTCTATTCGGGGCGGTGAATTTCGCATAGTTTTTTAATTATAGGAAAAATCAAAAGCGCAGAATGGGCCAAATCTCAACTTTTGTGGAGGGAAACAGAGCGTTACAGATTTAGCCACAAAATCAGGCTAGAAGGCTTGTCAGTAAGTCATGCACACACACACACACACACACACACACACACGATACTCATCCACACTTGTAGCTAGCATTAATCCACATCCGAGTTATTATTCATGCTGATTGTATGAACATTTCAGCTTTTATGTGAACCGTAAAACTTTACTTCCTGACTTTTCATCAGGCCCAGCGGCCCTCAACCTGCCACACCTGAAAGGGCTTATGGTCTTGTGGGGTGGTGAGGGGAGGGAATTATCCTGCAGATACATATGTAGATACTCTAGATATCCCCCCTTGGTTCTGCAGAGTGCATCCCTCTTCGTATCTATACCCTTTCAGAAAGTATAATGGATCGAGCATCCACGCATTTGCGATCCCTTGACATGTCCCTAACTCCGTCTTCATAGGAAACTTATTAGCTACTAAATCGAGCTATTGAACAGACAATAGCAAGTCGATGGTCGCTCCAATCGATGGATATGCCAGGGTAGAAAGAATTTCGCCCCGAAGCAACTCTTGTTGGCTGTAAAGTTAAGAACATTTTCAATTTCCAACATTCAGCATGGCACAATATTTTTACCCCTATATGTGTGCGTGTGTGGGTATGGGCGAATAGTTTTTTAGTAATTCCAGTTACAGTTTGGCCAGCTATACCACCAGGTACCACTCGTATGACTTTGGTTACAAAAGGCTTATTCACACACACACACACACATCGAGAGAGAGAGAGAGAGAGAGAGAATGAGAAGGACTCTGTGTAGTTGCTTCCGTTTCCGTTGGCAACTTTGTCCTTTCATTGCAACGGTGAGCGAGGGATGCCAGTACCAGCCCTGCTCTGCCCACTCGGCTTAAATATCATTATTATTAACCCTGCCAACTGGTTCTGTGTGTGTGTGTGTGTGTGTGTGTGTGATTGTGTGCCACTTAACAGGCCGCCAACTCGGCTTCGGTCTGTGCTTGAGCCGAGCGAGTCCTGGGGCTGAGTAGCCCAGACATTGGTTAGGTAAATTATACTTACGGGTAATGCCGCTGCACCTTCCTCGCCACGTCCAACCTGAGCCCGAGCTTGAGCGAAAGTTATGCCTCGTTAAGGACCGGCACTTCCTCCAGTCTCCCACCCACTCACTCACGTAGTTGTTAAATGCCACGTTTCACTTGAATAATTGAGAGCGATTAGGCCAAAAACTTTTGCATTGATTAAGGTTTAAGTTGGCCAAACATTTGCGCAACATTTCTCCCCCACAGCCACAGCCAGTGGAAGCGCCAGGAACCAGCGGCTGTCATTGTTTTCTATGGTCTCGACTCTAGACTCGTGTGTTGGCTGTGTCTATTGGCATTCCCATTCCGAGTACCTGAGGTCCTGCTCCACCTTTGTGTCATTTGCTATCAGCAAATGTTTAAATATGCATTACGTGTGTTATTCTCATGTTCAGCAGCACTTGGGGATTACCCGGAGAGCTGTAGATGAAAGTCCTAGGTAGCCGATGCTCCCCCAAACCAAGTCTGGGTCCTGTAAAAATTTTAACACTTTTGGGAATTTCCAACCGAGTGCAGCAGCCCCCAACCCCCTACAACTTGTTATGAGATCTTCAAACAATCTAAAGCCAGAACAAGAAATACTTGCCTGAAGTTGGCTTTCAAAACATGAGGAACAGCATAAGCCTGTAACCGTATAGATATCGATTTTAGGCATAGGGGAAGCGGAGAGACCAGGAGTGGATTGTGTGAACAGTTACGTTACACTCTCAAAAGTCAAAAGCTCGGGCTTGGCTCATTTTCATTTTCAGTTTCAGTTTTGTTGTGGAAATGCAGCAGGCAAGCGGAGGAGGGTGGCGCCCAACCCAAATGGCATTCGTTCTGCTGGAAAGGTTGAGTCGAGACAAACAAATATGAGCACGCTTCAGGTACTAATTACACCTGGGCCAGTCACTAATGAAGCCCAAAATGTAGTCGCAGGGCCCTCGAAAATGCCGAGCTGCATAAATTGCTGGGCGTGCAAGAGGCAGGAAGGATACCAGAAGCAGGCCCTGGCAGGACGAGGCAAGAATGTGGCCTGGCGATATGCAAATACAAATCAAATGGCAGGCAGAGAATGAAGAATGCAGGATGCAAAAACAAGCCATGCCCATCATTATGCCAGCACGGGGGAGCTGGCGGGGAACATCAACCCAACTCGCAGAAATATGCGACAGCAGCAGCCAGAGAAATGGTACGGGTGCGAGTGCGGGCACACAAAAAGAATGCCTGACAAAAACTGAGAGAGATCTCTGGGAGACACGAGGCACTGAGGCCACATTATCTACCCAGGGGTAGACAGGGCAAAGGCAAATGTCAAACGTTTTGCCAGAGCTGGAAAATGTGCATGCAAAGCTAGGCGAAAAGACCCTAACACGCCCACAGCTACGCCTTAAATGCAGCTCGCCGGCTCCATCGCCGTATGCCTCAGCTATCTCCAGCTCCATCTCCATCTCCCTCTCCTCTCCACGCTCCAAACTCGCTCTCTCTCTCTCTCCATTCGCCCCCGTCATAGCTCTCTACACTGCCTTTGTGTGCGATTTTCACAAATGCAAACACTTTGATTTTGATTTCAGAATTTTCTCCATTCTTATACGCTTTCGGATGGGTACTACGGCTTGATCAGTGGATTAAAGTGGAGTGGATAAAACTACTTACTTCTTCTCTAAAAATCTATCGTTCAGCTTATCAATGTTCCTGCTGTAAGTTTGTACGAAAGTTTGTCTTACTTCGAATATTAGAAAATAATAAACATCAAAGCATGACAATATTATTGCTACCAAAGGTATAATGACTCTGCTAGGGTATCTAAATGTCCTTCCACTAGCGCAACTTATATTCCTCAGTTTTTTGTTGTTCTCTTTTTTTCTCTCCTTTCTCCTGTCTCCCACGCCAGCAAAGGAAGAGGATCAACTACTGCCACTCACATTCGCATTCACACAGATACTCGCATTTAAAAGGGCAATGTCTATGGGTGGCTGTGTGTGAGTATTATTTATGTTCTACGCTAGAAATCTATTTGCACCGCACCACAAATCTCAGCTCAGCGAGCCCAGAGTGAAAAAAGAAGACAAAATAATGGATAGATGGAAAAGGGGCAACGGAATGGGGCCATGGATTGGCGAAGGCAAATCCATTCAGAGGCAGGCAGGCAGGCATCGGACAACGCATCGCATTCGCATTAAATCGAAGTCGTTCCCATGACTGCACCACCCACACACACACACAACACACAAAGAAAACAGCACAAACACATAAACTTTAGAGCCATTTGGCAGCGGAATTGTATGAGAAGCCCAAAACTTGGAGCCTCGGAGGTGCATTCGTGAAATACTTGCTGCTGCGACCAGCTACTGTGGGAGAGATATCTCTGCATTCCATGGGAAAATGCTTCGGCTCGAGTTAGTGAATATTTCAAATATTATTTAGGTATTGCTTACAGCAAGATGCAATTTGCAGCTAACAAGCATTTGCATATTTTGTATATACTTTTATATTTTTAATGTTTATTCGAGCTTTAGATAGCTTCACGGCAAGAATCACGCGAGCATCTCAGATCGAAGCCACCGGCTTGTGCAATTCCAAGAGATTTCATATTGGGGCAGATTCCCTCTCTGTGGGCCATATTCAATTCGATATATTTCTGTAAACATTTCAATTAAATACTCTTAGCTCCTATGCCACATACGCACATCAGTAAATTAAGATATTCAGAATCCAGAGAATTAAAGGTACTTGGCGTTTGTTAGGGTACTCCCAAGTTCGTGTTTGTTCAGGTTTTTCCTTTGATTTCTTGTAATTCTTGTTGTTTTGTCTGTGAGACTCTGTTTGGTCTGTTTGTTTGTTGTAGTTCCAGTGGATGCTGCCTGTTGGTTATGGATTGAAGAGGGAACGAAGGCGCGGCCTCAGCTCTACCCACAGGCAGACACACACACACACACACAGCGAAACCCGACCGGGGCCAGGGCACTTGCATATCTGTGTAAATTTATGATTGCCCCATTTCCGTTTTTTACAGTCAGAACCAGGAGCAGTCCCCCGTCCCGTCCCATCCCATTCCCCATTCCCCATGCTCCTGCTGCCGCCCCTGCTATTGACTGTCTGTCTGCCTCTGGCTTCTGTCCCTTGTCCAACTCGGTATGTCTCTGAGTCCGATTCTGTCGCTGTCGCTGCCGCTGCCGCTGCCACTGGGTCCTGGTCTCTGAGTCTGTGCATGGCTGGTGGTGGTGCTCCTGGTTGCTTATCCTGTGACCGGCATTATTGTGTGACCCCCTTGGGCTGTGCTGCACTTTTCTTGCCACTGCCTTGGTCTGTGCTCTGTTCCTGTTCCAGCTCTTGCTCCTGCTCTGGTTTTATTTTTTCAAATCCAATGCCGCCTGCAGCTGACTTGCGACGGGGGCTGTGTCCTGGTATACCAAATGCTACCCACGGATTGCCACGGGTATTGACTCGTCGTGGTTCGCTGCACCAACGCTGGCCTTACCAGTTCCCCTTCCCATTTCCCATTTCCATTCCCGTTCCCATACCGGGCCACGGTTATGGCTTTGAAGCCTCTCTCACAGATCCGCAGGACCTGCAGCCCCACAGCCGTATGGGGTTTTAATTTTGACAGCTGCAGATAAATTGTTAAATGCAGGCCGGCCCCAGTCCCGGTTCCTGGTCCGTTCTCCTGCTGC